GTTTTATAAGCTTTAAAGGTGAGCAAGAAAGGTCCCCAGTTTCATTTTAATCCGATTTCATTATGATCTGCGACATTCATTATGTACTTGTTCACGAGATGACACCTCAACCAATCAAATCGTATGATTGTAGATTATACATCAGAGTACCTACCCGAATAAGTTAGCAGTTAACCGACAGTTAACCCGGATTAGATTTTTTTAAATGAGGCATTATTGCCGTTACATGTAAGAAAAAACTTACAAGAGTTATAAGAAATGCATTTTGACCAATTTAATTTACCGATGTTAAATTATTTAAATGAATAATTAAATGTTCCTTTTTAAATCAACAAAGCCCTCTTAGCAATGAATACACTTTTGGCGAGGTGCCACGCTTGTCAATTCCTGTAATTTTTAAGTCTTTCAAAAGGTCTTCCACGAAACAGTTATTCACAATAATTTTTATTTTTTACTTTAGTAATCAATAGATACTATTTAATGATAAATCGTATAATGACATTAAAAACATTAAAACATTTTTAAACAATTAAAAATCAAACAATCACGATTTTTAAAATCATGTTTTAAAACATTTGCATCCCTACATCTGATGCGGCATAGGATCGGATTTTGAAGCAGGGTTCTGGATTAACGTTATTTATGACTTTCGCAAAAATAACGCATCATTAAATCAGTATGACTTTCGCAAAAATAACGCATCACTAAATCAGTAAATTCATGACTTTCACAAAAACACCAACTTTTTTTGATTATATTAAAGTGAAATTGGCGTATTTAAAAGCTTATGTAATGGTACGTACTAATAAAATTTGAAAAAGCCTCACTACACAATTCGAGAACAAGAATAATTATTGGATATAACTTCAAAGCATCTGAATTCACGAGCTCTTCATTTAGAAGCGCGATAACTTTTTTTTTTTTAAAAAAAATAAATAAATTTATTATTATTATTATTTATTTATATTTTATAAAAAATACCATTGTTATTTGCGGAATGAAGCGCCTACGTACGTACGTACGTACGTACTGTGCTTACACATAAATTAAACATCACAATTAATACACACCACGTTCGTATATGACAAGCATTCAAGGAGACCTACTACGTATATTATTTGGCACGAGGGGTATTTAATTCAGTAACATATGAGAACTGGTCTAGGAAAATTTCGATCTGGGAGTTAAAAGATTCTCCGACTAATCAATATAATTGAAGTTTATCGTTAATATGATAATCGGCTATCATTTGTTTAAATTTATGATGTAAATTACATGAATTAGGTGGGAATTTTTTTGATCAGAATCGGTAGTAATATGTATAACCGCCGTCTATGAGACCTATTATTACCTTGATTAAGTTTCTTAATGCAAAACGTGTGAATTAAAATTACGTATTTTTTACAGAATTATGAGATCATGAAACATTAGAGAATCACATTCATACAATACTTAACAACTTAAAATGCCATAAAATTTCATTTATAAAAGGTCTATTTTCTCTAAGAAAGATCAAAAAGTTCTCACTTATTGAATTTTTTTTCTACATAAATCTACTTTTTACCAATAAAAATGTCTTCTGACGATAACTTGTGTTTAATGAAATCTTGGTGAGTTCTTAAACAATTCAGATTTATCATTCGACTGTTGTAAACTTCTAATATTTCATTTTCATCATCTTTTTTATAGTTTTGAAAGTTCAGCCGCATGCCTCGTGAGTATTTATTGAAAAATATATGTACATACGTGAAATAGTGCAATTACAGGATTTTAAAATCATTTACACGAATAATTTTTTTTTTGCGAATAGGAATGTGCTGAAAGATCTGGCAGCCATGAAGGTTGCGCAACTCAATGCAGGATTAATGCAGGTCGTCTCTTTAAAATTACGATGAATTATATCATGATGTAATATTTGTTCAATAAATTGATTCTTTTTTATTAAAAAAAAAAAGAATTAGCTGGCGTTACCGCGAGATTGATGTCTTTGAAAGCTCCTGAAGTGAATACTCTTGTCGATTTGGTTATCAAATCTTCCAAAAAATGCGCTGATATTTGGTATGAGATTATTTTCAAATATTAAATATAATTTTATATTTTCACATTATTGTTAAACGAATTTTTACTTATTTAATTTATAGCTCTCAGGTATAATATAACAACGTTAAAGAAATGAATATTATCAATCAGCTACTAACAATTCGCGTATATTTATTTTAGCACAAAAATGATCATTGCCAAGCTTGTGCTGCTGCCGCGCGTAACCTAGGCAATAATTTACGAGGTTATCAAGAGCGCGCAGCTGGCTAATTTGGGCTCATTCACCGTTATTCTGTTATTTTGCTGTTTTATACATTTTCTTATCATTTTTAATAGTGTTATATCCATTATTATACTCGGTACCTTTTGCTTGATAAATCTTAGTATAATTTGAAAATGTGTAATTCAATACTGCAATAAACGTAATAAATTTACGATAACGATAATCTTGGTCAATTTTTGTTTTGCGTAACACAGATCTTAATATGATTTTTGTGCCAAAATTTCATCATAAAATTTCTTTTAACATTTTACACAACTGTTAATGTGTATGTATTACTGCGGGCTAGTATTTGTAGTTTGTTTTAACTTAAAAAGTTATTATGGATGAATTTGTAAATTGGTTAATTGAGAATGGGGCTACTTTTCCTAAAGTCAAGTTTGATAAAGGTGATTTTATTAATAAATTTTTAATTCATTTCATCGATCAAATATTGTAATGAATATAAAATTCCTAAATCTTATATATTGGTTTTCGCTCTTAATTCATTATATAAAGATGAAGATGGAATGGGTGGCTGTTACGCTGTGCAACCGATTCATCCAGATGAGATAATCGCTTCGCTTCCTTTAAAATTAACCATATCTTACAAGCTCGCTCGTGAGCATTTACCGATGTTAGATCTACTTGGTTGTCGTGCTGTGCTTGCTACATTTTTAGCTCATGAGCGGCTTCTTGGAAAGTCGTCTTTTTATTACTCGTATATTAATATCTTACCAACGTATATACCTACTCCTTTGATGTACACTGAACAAGAAATGTCATGGTTAAGAGGAACAAATCTTGGTTACGGTGTTGAAAGTAGGAAGGAATTGTTGAAAAAGGAGTTTGATGAAGTTTTGAAAGTTGTGTCAAATGGTGAATTCATTAACGTTAATGGGCTAACATGGTAAACTTCAAGTTACAATACATATATCAATAAAATAATATATATATTGATATTGTATTTATATAATCTTTTGGGTATAGGGAATTATATTTATGGGCGTGCAATATAATATCATCGCGATGCTTCCCGAACAAACTAATTGATCCGGATGATGTTGAAGTAAAAGAAGCTTTGTTTCCGTTAATTGATTCTTTTAATCATAAGCCTAGGCAAAAAATTACTTGGGAAATTCATGAAAAGAATGAGTTGCGCTTAGTTGCTGGTAATTATATAGAAGCTGGACAGCAGATATATAATAATTACGGTGCCAAAGTAACTTTTTTTATTTCCTTTTGTAACTTTTTAATAAAAAACTTTATACCCAATTATTTATATCTTTTCATTTTTTTTACAAATTGAATTTAAAGTCCAATGAGGAATGTAAGTGCTAGTTTCATAAAAAAAATATATACATACTAATCTTTTTTCTTTATCTTTTAACATCATTATTAATAACTAATTTTCACATAGTATTAGTTGGTTACGGATTTTGTATTCCTAATAATCCTGATGACTGGGTAATAATCAAAGCAAATATTTCGCAAGATCCTCAGTGTGATGAAAAACTGGATCTTTTGACAAGCTTAGAACTTTCCGAACTTACACATTTTATTAAAAGAGATCATATTCCTTCAGCATTATTATCTCAATTACGAGTGCTTGTAATGAACTCTGCAGAGTTAATCCATTTTAAAAAATTACCAGAATCTGTTGATAATAATATAACTGAACCTATAGGATATCGAAATGAACTTGCAATGTTGGAAACTTTTTCTAATTTGTTAAAAATGAAATTGGAGGTTCTTTTAGAGCGTGAAGAATTTGTTGGAATTGGATCTGCGAGAGAATCTGAGACCGCGAGAAATTGTAAAATATATATTGATGGTAAGTTTACACTTAATGCATTTACATTAATGCACTTTATTTAAATGTATCTTGACTTAAATTTTAATCAAATCATGTTTTATATTAATTTTAGGACAAAAAGAAATTCTTACTAATGCACTTGCAATTATTTATTCCAAAGAGTTAATTATCCTTAAAACAGCATTAAATGATTCAAAACTTAGTAGAATTCCAAAGTTACCCTTTGTTTGCAACAAGATTAATATTAACAATGATTATAATAACAGCGACACGTCTTTTAATGACATCAATTCAATAATCCTTGCTAAAGATGATTTATTAGATTCATTACTGATTACCACTGATAAAGTAATGAAAATTGATAAAAAATTTTCGAGAGCTATTAATGAAATATTTAGCAAAGAGTTGATAGATAGTGAACAAGATACTATCTTGATACTTTATTTAATATATGAAAGTCAATATATTGAAAAGTCTGAATGGAAGTTATTTTTTGAAGTTGCCGTCAAATACGATGATTCTTATATGTAAGAATTAACCTATTTCTAATTATTGTTACAAAGATTAATTAATTTTTTTTTCATGTTATATATAGACAACAATATGAAGAAAAATTTCAAGAATTGACAGATTTATACAATGAATTACAACCACTTGTTTGTAATCCCGACGTTAAGTTATTTGACAAAGATGTGTTTAGTATCGATAAATTAATTTGGTCAACATGCATTTTTGAAATATGCTCTATTTCTTTTACAAATAAAAATGAAAAGCAATGTTTTGGAATTGCGCCTTTATAATTTTCTTATGAATACATTTTTCTTAGATTAAGTCATTAGAATAATTAATAGTAACAAGTGCTTTTTTAAATTAAGATTTTTAGCTGAATTACTATTTACTATGTATATATCATGATCGAAATATTTCAAATAAGATAATCATTTATCTTTACATAATATCTCATTTTATTTTTTTATTCGCCATGAAAAGTTAAGAATCAATTTATTAAACAACTTAATTTCTTGAACCGTATTTTCATTTTTTGTTGATTTGATTGGTGAGATGGCGCTTAAAAACTAATGAATAAACAAACTAGGTAACAACAAAATATCTCAATTAAAAAAAAAATGGTGGATCCCAGAATAGTTTTATTGTGATTAATATTTTCCATACTATTTAATTTATATCGCTTCAAATTGGTATATGCAATGAAGACCATTGGCTTCATTCTAGTTTGTTAAACTAAAAATAAAATCAAAACTTTAGTACTTTAAGTTGATTTAAATTAATATTAATTTTAAACCAATCTGATTCAAATCAATTTACTGTATTAATGATTTTAAATTATTTATGCTAATTAAAAAGATTAATAAAGACAATTTCTATTTGTTTACTAGTATATAAAATATGAGTATATATTATAGCTCAAAATTCTGCTTATATATAAAACCATTCTTTGGGTTTTAACAAAAATAGTTTATACAAAATTTTAGTATAAATTCTTCTCTAACCCAAATTTCTAACTATAACTCTACAGTATTACTGTATATAAAAGAATACAAACTAGTTCTAAAATATATTATACAAATACATAATAAGATTTTACTATAGATAAATTTGTTAAAAATAATAAATTCTAACTATTATTATTATAACAATTTAATAATTATTTTATTATTGTATAATATATTATAGATTTATTGCTATTTTTTATTAAAAAAAAAAATTTAAAGTATATTTACACACTTAGTATATTTTTGTAATATTAGAAGTTAGAATTGAAATTAAGAGAGAAAGTGTTTTTTATTAGCTACACACAACACTAGTAAAATTTTGAGACATAGTAAGGGTGCAATGAATGCATACTTTCATTAATTAATAATGTTATGCCAGATTTTTGATGCATCAAAAACGGAACTCTGGTACCACTTTACTCATTCATTAAGTATCCTTCGCTATGCTCCGGACAATTACCATGATATTTGAATCAAAAAAGTAAATTAGAAGTAAATTTTAACAAGCCTCAAGCAAATTGCCTAAAATAACGCAGTTACAAACTAGAAAATAATAAGGAACACAAAAACAAAAAAAAAAAATATGAATATACCAATTTTCTATTATTATCACTGTTATATAATTACAAGAGAGGTTTACTTAGTACAAATATTTATTTCGAAGAGATATAAATAACCATATAGCCTTCTAAGATTGTTTAGAAGTGGATCACCAATATTGGTTTCATCTAATTATTGCAATATCAATTCTTCATCTCATGCATGGTAAAAAAAAAGTAAAAACGTATCGATTGATTGTGATACGAATAACCTTCGCATCTGATTTGAATATTTAAAGAAATGGCCTTGCGCAGAATAAAGGTATATATGCTTAACGATTGGTTAGAATATACTGTAGATGGGGCGATATGAAATTGATATATTCCTTTTTTGAAGTAAATTTTCAGAAAATAAACAAAAGATGGCTCGTTAAAAAAAAAAATCACATCTCGATCACATGTTATTGATTACAAGATTGATTATAAGAAAACATTCAAGTTGTAGTATGTTTGACAAAAACAAAAATATTCCAATTTTATTTTTGTAAGTTTAATGAATACGATCGTACTAATGAATGTCGAAAAAGTTCGAAATTCCCGAAATTATAGAAGCTTTCAAACTAGTACGTTGATATTTTATGCATTACTACGTAATTTCAAGAGTTTTACGTAGCCTTATTCAATGATGTTCCTGAAAATCCCGTTAATTAATTCTTGTTAATTTTATTAGGCATAGTTTAACAGATTCTTGGCTAATCAGTGAAAACCGACAAAACAATTACTCATTTTGATGCAAATAATAGTTTCGTAATGTGCTATAATTAAATATAATTAGTCTAATTTCACTCCGCATGCATTTGCCTGATATTACAGATTGGTTTATAACGTTTTGTTAATTTCCTTCGCATTAGTTTTAATAGTTAGCTAATCAAACTTAATACATAATTTTAAATGAATAAATCCATTTTATTGCGTTTTTTGTTTGTTTTAAATCAAACCAAATTATTACACATTTGTAACATTTGATCATATTAAGATCTATATTATTTCTAATTGTACAAATCTATATTAATTGGATCATGAATTAGCCATACAAAATTCAATGTCAACAATCTCCTTAGGTGCCGTTGAACTTAATACAATAGGATCTGTAGCTCCAACTACAACATTATCTTCAATGCGTATCCCTATACCGTGGTATCTCTTGGGATATGCATCATTAGGTGGAACATATATACCGGGTTCTAAAGATTATTTGTTAGAGACTATTTTGAAACCGAAAAATATGCTTATTTATTAATTACCAATAGTTATAACCATTCCACACGACAACCTCCGTGAACGATCTATATAAGGAGTATCATGAACATCCAGCCCAAGATAATGACCAATGTGATGAGGGTATAAAACGCGATCAACATCCTAAAGTTCGGAATTAACAGATATAAGCCAATAAACAAATAGATTCGGTGTTTATAATGTATAAAAAAAGTTTACCCCTTCGGTAAGATCAAATCCAATATTTAATAGTTCTTCTTTCATGAACTCAATCGACATTTCATGTATTCCGTTCAAGGAGATATCTTCTGCTTCTGTACAAAGCTAAAAATATATATATACACATATATATACATTATACATACAGTTTCTTAGCATGACTAATATATGTTCAACTATTATAATATACCTTGATGCATTTCCTGTTCACATTCAAAACTGCTTCATATAACTCCTTTTGAGATTGTGTAAATTTTCCATTTACAGGCCATGTTCTAGTAACATCGCTTGCGTAACCATAGTATTCCTAATACATATATAATTAACAACAATCATCCAAGATCCTCATTTTGGACGTGCTCACATTAATCAAACGAAACCATTCCACACTTACGCCACCTGCATCCAATAAAACAAGATCACCATCCCTTATATTAACAGTAAATATATGTACATACAACACTATAAACTATACATGACGTACAAACTATTGTAGCATCTCCAAAAGTATTTTGCAATTTAATAATGCTGAAATAGTTTCCACGTCATGTATATATAAACTAATAGTAAAGTGAGTAAGCATACCGTAATGGCATATCATTCCTCACATAATGCATTGTTAGCGCGTTAATCCCTCCCGCGACTACAGGAACATAAGCGAGAGACTGTGCACCTCGAACGCGAGATTCAAAGTCTATTTTAGCATATAAGTCATGTTCTGACAATCCTGGTTTTGTGAATTTCATCGTCTGTTAAACAAACAACAAAAATAAGTATATATATTTATTTGAATTTTCATGATAATATTATTATATGAAAGAAAAATTATTACTTGGATAAATGCTTTGCCAGTAATTTCACCGCCCTTTCTCATTAATGCTATTTCGGAATCACTCTTGATCATCCTTAAATCTTGAACTATTCGACTCAACAGTTTTACTTTATCACAAAGGATTTTGATGAAATGGTGAAACGAATCAAGATCATTTAAGAATCAGATAATTATGATATCAAGAATAAGTACCAGAATTTCGACCTATACTTTTTTGTATATTATCAGTTGAGAGAATATTGGTACGTGGAGGAAGATCAATATAGACATCTTTATAATTTTTAATTATATCTTTGATCTTCGAATTGAATCTTGCTGATTCCATAGCCTAATTTGAGTAAAAAAATACATTGTACCATATTATGGTTACTTTAAAAACAATATTCTATTATGAATATGAAATTGACGCTCTTGCCTCATCTGCACCAAAGAAATCTATTGCGCCCAGAACTCCCGTCCTAGGACCTTCCCACATTTCAAGGCAACGATTTTTTGGAGGGACAAACATCGTCATTTTGTAACCTCGACGGGAATTATTCTTTTCTTAGATTTATTCAAAGAATAAGTATTATAATCTCTGCTAATTACATGTATTCACAAGAAAATTATTGTGATAAACATTTGACATTATTTCTAACCTAGAACCATGGCAGAGTCGGGTTCATTGAAACCTAAAATCAAACACATGTTTATTTAGTTAAGAATTGCCGTGTTATTGTTAATTATTTAATTGGAAACTTGCATACCACATAAATAAAAAAAGTCTGTGTTTTGATGGAACGGATAGCTATAAAAAAAGAAAAAATTTAGAGTTTAGTTTAAATAATAGAAAACTTAAACGACGGTGATGTTTATGTTATACGAACAATACTTTGTTTGACATATATCGCATGCGATATCCTAATGAAATTGCAACGCTGTTTTCTGATAATCTATCCATTAATTTTACTCTTCGTAGCTCGTACTCAAGAGTTGTAATACCCGGTGTTACTATAATTACAATCAGCGAATGATAAAATTTATATAAATTCTTCGTTAAGAGGAAAATATTATCCAAATGATCTATAATATAAATCTATTACATTCACCCGGTTTCATCAAATGAGGGTGTGTTTCAGGAGTAGGCTGACCGAAAATACGCGGTTCAGCTGGAGTTAGCATTGCTTGAGTGCCGAAAGAACGATTGTATACCCCGAAGGCTGAACGAGTAAGGCGTGGGGTAGCATTTGAAAAGATATCCTGGGTGAAATATAAAACCCAATTATGACGGAAAAAACAAACTAACATCGCCTTATACGAGAGTACAATCTTAATGAGGTCGAAAACATTGCACGTGTGGCTGGCTTAGGTGATTGATCTGTGCTGCTTACTTGACGTTTCAATGAACCGTACATCACAATCCAATTTTGGAAAGTTTGCCTTATTTGAGTGAACGAATTGACGTCTCGCGCATATAAACCATATGCAGTGTCAGGTTCTCCCTTTTTTTTCTCGACGGCTTCCATAAATTGAAAACTATGAAATCATTAATTTTATTTGGTTTTTCTTGTTAAAACACAATCCTGTTTTTTTATTTTTTTATTTTTTTATATATGTAATTCATATATATTTTTTTTATATAAAATATTTTTCTATAGATGTGAAAAATTAACAACTTTTTTTGTCCCTAATACTGTTATTATATTTACCAACGGCTTTCGTTTCTACATGAACTTGATATATAGTACAACCTTGCATAGTACACAACAGAAAATCATGCTTACATTTATTAACACAACTTATAATTACTCAATTGTACTTTAATTAATCATTCACGACAGCAAGAGCGGCAGTTACTTTTTCTCTGCTAACTTGCTACGTTTTCTCAATAATTATTTCCGTTCATACGACGTTTATTAATTTAACGAAATAAACTCACTCTCACTTTCTTTTAAATTTCATGGCAGATTTTTCCCTTCCCATTCCACCAAAAGATGATTTTCATCTTATGATGTCAAAGGATTTTCATATTTCAGACACTTTAGGTTCGTCCATTGATCTATCTAACTCTATAGGTTTTGGATTAAAAGAAGCAATGTCTGAACCTTTAACTCCCAATACGAGTAATACATTTCCTGGTGCGAAGAGAACAAGTAAAATCTCCACAACTCAACTTTCATCCAACATGGATTCAACACTTTTGGATACTAACGCTTCTGAAGTTGAAAATGAACTTCAAAATATTACACATCCTGAAAAAACGTCTACGAAACCTTGGTGGTTAAGTTTGGGTAGGATTAAATCTAAAAAAAAAGCTGATACTCGAATTAAGGCGGTCAACTCTAATCCTACTTCTAATACGACACTTTCTGCATCAATAATATCTACATCATCATCCCCAATATCATTGAATATTGACCCGATGATAAATGACGGAAATAATAATATTCAGAACCTTCCAAAGGCTAAAAAATTGAACATAAGAAGCAAGCTTCAAAAATTTGGTCATAAGAAAACAAAAGTAAATGAAAGTAGCAACACAGTTGCAGAGGAACATTTAACTCAAACTACTGGACTTTCAACAATGTCAACAGGAAAACCAGAAGGCGATAGGCATAACATTGGGTCCTTCGCCGAAAGGTTTAACCGTAGTCATTCTTTTACCTCTGATCCCCGTCCCGCTGAATCTCCTCTTGAGCAAACGGAGAAGCAGGCTTCTCTAACGAGTCCACCAAAAATCGCTCTGTCTCTTTATTCTAATAGTGATAATAGTGTTAACCATGATAATTATAATAATGTTAATAATTACGATAATAATAATAACAAAAAGGCTGACATTAAACAAAAACAAAGAGAAATGATCGCCAAAGGTCAGGACCTTAGGATTTCATCTTTGTTTCCTAATGAATCTTTGACTTCAACAAATCAATCATCTTCTGAAACTCGTAATGATGAGAGTGAAGACGTAAAAAATATCGTGGCTCCTTTAAGACATTCTACAGGTGATGCGTTAAAAAATACAGTAAATCGCCGTAGTCGAATATTTGATATTTTTACTTCTAAAAACTCTTCTCAACGTGTATCACGTGTATCTATTTATTCATCCAAAAGCCTTGCTAATCTTAATACGAAGAGCTTGGTGCGGGAATCATCAGCTTCTAGGGACCCAACTTCTTTTGTAAATAGTAATAGTTATTCACATCAGAGTTTAAACGTTGATGTTGAAAATATGGACACTTCATTTGGGAAGGATTTGAAAAGATCTACTGCGCTGGCTCAGCATACAGAATCAACAGATGAACAAAACAAAGTTGATAAATCTCCTTTACGTCTTTTCAAGAAAAGGTTTTATCAAAACTTTTTGCCTTCTCATACTTTAGATACGAAATCAAATGCCATTCCAGTAGCGAATGAAAATAAGCAGTCCACCATTAGGTCGATCAATATAGAAAACTTATTATTATCCACCGGTGATGGCTCTGCTGATAGCGAAACCGATGATGATGAGGATGATGACGATGATGACATTGATCATTCAACATCTGATGAGGGTGATGTTTCTATCTCTAAATCACAAGCAATAAATTCTAGTTTATACGCATCTTCATTGTCATCATTTTCAAAATCTTTCAATTCCGAGGATCCGTCTGCTTTCAAAACAATTTCGGATTCTCAACCTTTTAATTTCAATGAAACTAATTTCTCGAAACCAGATTTACCATTAGAAGATGTTTGGGATGTTCTTATAAATCCTCAAACAACAGATAAAGGCCCTGCTAGATTAAGTAATAACCGTTTATCTTGTATTCCGGATAACTTCTTTGACAAGCTTTATAATATTAAAGAACTTTACCTTGATCGAAATACGCTTCGGGATTTGCCAGAAGAGCTTTTAAAACTTGCAAAATTGGAAATTTTGGATCTTAGCAATAATTGTATTTCAGAATTTAATCCAAGATTAAGATTTACAAGACTGAAAAATTTGAGACGCCTCAATTTGGACAATAATGTGCTTTCTGATATAGTAAGCATATGTAAACTTAAAAAATTAAGAGAGCTCAGGGCTAATAATAATTTACTGGTATCACTCACAGATGACATTTCAAAGTTATCTAAACTACGTCTGTTATATTTAGACAATAACCAACTTACAAGTTTACCTGATTCAATCGGAAAATTGAAATCTTTATGTGTACTACGCTTAAACAATAATAATATTGAGTCTCTGCCATCAGCAATATGTTCTTTACGTCAATTACAAGTACTAGAGTTGAGAGCAAATTTGTTAACACAGTTACCGGAAAATATTAAAGAATTGGAAAGTCTAGCCAAATTGGACGTTTCCAACAACCGACTAACATCGCTTCCAAATGATATCATGAGATGTAGCAGGTTAACTCATTTGATCGCTTCTAATAATCAGCTTGAATCAATACCATCTAAAATTGGGCAGCTCTCTAGGTTACTTACCCTTAATCTCCGCGAAAACCTAATTAATAATCTCCCTACTGATTTAGGCAGGCTTGTAAATTTAACAGATCTGGATTTATCTTATAATGAATTGATCGTTTTGCCCGAAGATATAGGAAATCTTAAGAAACTTACTGAAATCAAACTTAATAATAATCCGTCATTATTGGCAATCCCAGAAACATGCCGAAGAATGTCACAAATCAAAAAAATTCATTTACAACACTGTAATCTTAGTTCAATTCCTTTCGAGATAGGTGATGCGTATAGCCAACTTGAATATGTTAACCTATCATTTAATTTATTTGACGCGGTTCCTAGTTTACATGGAATGTATAAAACAACCATCTTTAACATATCAAATAATCGAATTGATGACTTATCCGAACAGATAGGTCATCTGGAATCATTGTGTGAGTTATATGTGGTAAATAATAAACTCTCACATTTGCCAAAATCAATTGGTCGACTAAAGAATTTAGAAATATTAGATGTATCAGAGAACATGCTTGTTGGATTGCCAACTTCAATTGGTGATTGTCAAAGCTTACGTGAACTTAAATTACGAGGTAATTCATTAGAAAACTTGCCAATGACGTTGGGACGATTGAAAAATTTAAATGTATTCTACATTGGTCAATGGCCGATGACCGAGTTCAACATAACAAAAGATGAAAATCATTATGAGAATCTAAAAATGAATCCATATCAACATAAAATTCCGCTATCAGTTGAACGAACATTGTTATGGAGAATGCATGATTCTATATTAAAAAGACTAAGAGATATAGATTACAGTGATGGAACTTCGGAGAGATCTTTAATAATTCCATCGGATGAAAGCAATAATTCTCAAGATGGAGGAAGTCATACATCGACGTCGGATCCATCGACAAACTATACCAGTCCGCCAATACCAAGAGATGATGTAATATTGAAAATGGCTGTTTTAAAAGGTGTTTATGATCAAATAATGAAAGACATGCGCAATAGTGACTACGATAAAGATTTATGCGGAGATGACACGGCCGAATTTACTGATAGTGTGAAAAAGAAAAAGTTTTCGAAACTAAAAGAGTTTAAATTTCTGAAGATTAACGATAGCAGATAGAAAATCGTTACTCTTTACCATTGCACATAACGATAAGGAAAGCCTACTTAATATGTATGACTTCAAAAACATTACGATACTTAGATGTATCTGTGCTACGTTACATTAGACCTTAATTTTTCTTGTATATTTTTCCACTTTATTTTAATTTCATTTTTAGTTTTTAGTTTTTCACTGTATAATTATGACATAGACTAAATTATTTTCATTGATACTTTAGTTTTTAGGGTAGGAAAAAAGGGAATGATTGTTTAAATCATAATATTTGACCTAAATGTGATAGAAAAGGGTTCTTTGCTTTCTAAATGCGATTGAAAATTATTCCTTACTAATAAATAAGAGATGGGATAGTCAAGAATGGTAGTACAACTCATAAATAAAGTATAATTAATAAATAATCAATCATTTTCCGTTATCTGTTAATATCTAGTGCTATTTGACTCAGTAAACTGTAGTTCGAACCAAGTCACGACTATAGAATATGTTTCATATTAAAATTTGTGTATGAACATTGTTTTTTATGTCGGGATATCTAAGACTGTACTCTGAACAGCGCTTTGTGCTCTTAATAAAATGGTTTAGTATAATATTGATAGATTATAAAAAATCTTATTACTTGTTATTGCAAAGTTAAATAAAAATATATATATGTTAATATGATTGCATTTGAACTAATTTAAAATACAGAATTTACTACAATATTTTAAAATCCAAGCATAATCAGATAAACAAGATAATATTGTTGTATAGATACAAATCATTCGTGGTCAGTTTCATTAATAAAAATTTTTTTAAAAATTCACTATATGGGCTGCCGTCAATAGAAATCAGGCAGATTGACATTTTAAAAAAAATCTATACCTCAACTTTTACAGCTCATATCTCGATGAA